ATGATAGAAAGACGGGCAAGATTTGTGCAATGCATATAGAGGGTTCATTACAAAATTCCTTAAAACGATTACTATCCCTTGTAAAGTTGCAAAACCAACTTTTGCATCTTTTTAAAACCCTAAAGATTTGTGGTTTACAAATATTTAAACTAAATAATAGTTATAACAAATGACTTAACACTGTTAATAAATAAAAAAGGTACATGACTATTTTTACAACAACTGCAAGTTTTGGCAGGTAAAAAGTAGTGTGTATCTAAATACTCTTTAACTGTACTACGAACAAAATATAAAGTTGCTTTTTGTGCTCATTAGCGGGGCACAAAAAGCAACTTTATTTACAAAAAAAAATTTAAAGAAAGTCTTGTATAACTACCGAATAATAATATAACATTAAATTATAAACAATATTATACTTTTATTATTAAAAATATTTTTAATAATACAGTATTATTACGTGATTAAAAAATACTATTTATACACACAGACAAAAATGCCACTGACATCATACAACATGTGATAATATAAAGAAAATTTAAAAGATACATTGCAAATGTTTACATAAAAAGGAAAAACTGTTTTTAAAATACCATGCATACCTATAGCTAGAATTATAGTAATCAATGCTTGTGTTTTCAATTTTAATAAATCAATAAAATTTTAGAAACTATAAACAAGTCACACTAAAATAAATAGTAATTTTCACTTTTAAAATAAAATAAACTATTAAAAATATACAAACTAATATTAATTAATATAAAAAGTCTAATAAACTACTGAAAAAAAATAAGAATGGGAAAAAAATTTCTTATTGGCAGTCTATATCTAATTGTATTAATATATATATATATATATATATATATACATATATATATATATATATATATATATATATATATATATATATATATATATATATATATATATATATATATATATATTAGTATTATTATTATTATTATTATTATTATTATTATTATTATTATTATTGAGTTGTGTTGTATTCTGTTGAATTTAATACAGCTCTTTGTTGGTTTAAGAGTGATCGATATTTATAAAATAGATCAAAATATATTAAATATTTAAATGAAAAAAATCATTCAGCCATCTGGATGGCTGAATGATTGCCGAATGGCATTAAACTTGAAGTCCCATAAAAAAAGTCGTATTTTTTTCATTTAAATATTTAATACATATATATATATATATATATATATATATATATATATATATATATATATATATATATATATATATATATATTTTGCAGTAATTTATTACATTTTTTATATTAATTAATAATAGTTTGTATATTTTCACTAGTTTATTTTATTTAAAAAAAAAAAAAAATACATACATATATATATATATATATATATATATATATATATATATATATATATATATATATATATATATATATATATATATTATACATATAACAAACTAATCTAATAAAATTCAACTTGTTCGTACCCCTCTTACCACCCACTTACGGAAATCAGAAAAACAGAAATGAGGTACCAAAACTGCTCACTTTTATAGACTATTTGCTCAATAATATTTTTCAATGAAATTTGGTATGTAGATAAAAAATACATGTAAAAAATTATCTGGATAGGTTTGCAAACTATCTGAGCATTTCTTCGACAATAATTTAATGTGAGAACAACAACCAAGTTTTTAATACAAATAAAAGCAATACAAAAATTACTAACCACACATAAATGTTATATATTATTCAAGTTTAACTATTCTTTTTTTCAAAAATGATCTAAGTTTAGTAATGTTTCTAAACAGAAACGCCACAAAAAAACGTTCGCCAGACGTTACCTTTAAAAAAAGTTCAAAAAACCTGGCACAAAATTTTAGCACAAAATTCGGTTCTGTAAAACAATGATTTCCGCGTACCTACTTATAAATAGTTATAATGTTGCTTTTTTAGAAACATCCTCAAATGCAACTTGTGATACTAGATAATAGAATTATCAACATCTATTACTAAAGCTGCCTCATCACTTATAAATTTGTTTTCAACATCAGCTACCCAATTAGATACATTATTAGTGCCATCATTCTCTCGAGCATGTGAGGCTGTCCTTAATGATTATAGCAATGTCACTACTTGTGTGTTGATATGGTAGTTGAAAATACTATAAATATATTGGACACTCGTGATACTGATTTAACTGACATTGTTTTCTATGATGTTGGTGCTTGGAATAATGATCAAGAAATCAAGAAAAGATATATAATTGACAATGGCACAGAAAACTTCCAGCATAAAAATTGTGATTTTTCCCAATCTGCACAAACTGTTGGAAAGCATATAAGATGTTTTCAATCATCAACATTTTACCTTATTAAAGAAAATAAACAAAAGGTTCTATGAAAATCGATGTGTTATTCCCCAGTGAAAGGATAAGCATATTGCATCCTTTGTGTGGTATTTGGTGTAAGAGAACAATCAAACAGTTTTTTGTCTGGCTATACAGATTGGAAACATGCAGAGCGTGATTTCTGCCGTCACAAAAATTCCAAACAGCATAATGAGACTATGATAGCACTTTTAAAAACTCAGAAAAAAATTGAACCTTTATTTTTATCTGTACTGAATGATCAAATAATGTATTGGAAAAAAAAACTCTTGAGGATAGTTGATGTGATAAATTTTTTAACATCTAGAGGGCTTCCTTTAAAGGGTTCTGTAGAGAGGTTTTGTTCTACTCAAAATGGTAATTATCTTGGATGTTTAGAATTAATTTCTCAGTATGATGACTTTCGTGTAAATCATATAAAACATTTGTATGTGTTGATGAATTAAAAGCACAACTAACAAATAGGCAAAATGCTTATACTGAATTAGATTGTTTATTCGGCTTCTTAAATAAATTGAATAGTTTGATGGTTCAGGAAATTTCACCAGCTGCTAATAACTTACAAGTTTTATACAAAGATCGTATTAATATGAATTTAGCTGATGAATTGTTACATTTTAAACATTTATTTTTTGATAATGTGCCAGACTTAGTGAAAGATGTGTCAATTGAATTAGAGATGTTTAAATTTATTGAAAAGTTAAATTTACAATCAGTTTTTTCAAATTTGGAAACTATCCAAATATATTTATTGATGATGGTTTTAAATTGTTCAGGTTAAAAAAGCTTTTCTGTGCTGAAAAGAGTTAAAAGTTATTTAAGAAGTTCAATGCAGCAAGAGCAACTCATCAAGTACGTTATTTTCAATTGCCATTCTTGCAATTGAAAACAACGTATATGATGAGTTGGCTACAGCTAGCATCATCAATTGATTTGCACATTCAAAAATAAGAATTATTTAAACTTGTATTTCTATTCTTGTACCTGCCATTTGCCAATTTCAGAATTTCTTAATTGTTAAAACTTGTGTTTTTGTTCTAGACAATATAATTTTGGTTAATACTTTTATTTTCAAAGTTCAGTTAGTACTACGGTACTCAGATGCGCTTTATTTTGGGCATAAGTGCCTTATTTTTTATTATTCAAAGGGGCCCAAAATTTACAAAGTCCCAGGGCCCATAATTCCATAAGCTGGCACTGGAATGGATGCTAGCATAGGCCACAAGGTCCACTTTGATAATTTAAAAACAGGAACACCATCAGTATTAACAACAAGTCTAATTGTTGCTTTCCCATTTTCTTTCCCATTTCAAGACTTGCTAAATGTATCCAATTGTTATCACACATGTTTTTATGCTGTTTGTTTATGTTTAAAATATGAAAATAATTGTATTTCTTATAAAGATAGGATAATGTAAAATATTTCAAGCATTTTGTACATTGCTTATTAGTACTTAAAGCAACTTCACAAATGTATATATATAAATTAGTAAAAACACTTATCTAATTTTTATTTTCTTCTACAGCTTGTTTCTCCATCAGTAGGATCATCAGGAAGATTCCTTCCTGATGATCCTACTGATGGAGAAACAAGTTGTAGAAGAAAATAAAAATTAGATAAGTATTTTTACTAATTTATTATTGCTCTGTTCTTTAATAACATTGAGCACTGTATTTGTAGAATATACTAACATATTATATATATATATATATATATATATATATATATATATATATATATATATATATATATATATATATATATATATGTATATATATATATATATATGTATATATATATATATATATATATATATATATATATATATATATATATATATATGTATATATATATATATATATATATATATATATATATATATATATATATATATATATATATATATATATATATATATATATGAACGGCTCAGTGGAAAAGGTGCCTAACCCACATTTTTAAAACTGACAGAGTAATTAATGCCAACAATACGTTGAATACGTATATATATATATATATATATATATATATATATATATATATATATATATATATATATATATATATATATATATGTATATATATATATATATATATATATATATATATATATATATATATATATATATATATATATATATATATATATATATATATATATATATATATATATATATATATATATATATATATATATATATGTATATATATATATATACTGAGAGAGGGGCAGGGACTACTAAAATAACGGGACACGAAACTTCAAATCGATGCTAAAACGACGACAGGGCCGATTGTAAATGGCGAGTTTGATTTAACTAGCTAGTTTGATTTAACAAAAAAGTTATGAAAAACTTACATTAATATAATTATATTCACATTTTAGAATACATTAAAGTGATATAAATTTATATTACTAATATAATGTATATATTTTTCATCAGTATCGTACTGATAAAATATAGATTAATGCAATAGAAATATGGGAGATATTTACAACATTTTTCAAAAAAAAACCTTTTTTTTTTTTTGAAAAAAGTTGCAATTTTATTGAAAAATCTAAAGTTTTTTAATTTTTGAAAGTAGTAAGACTAAAAAATTGTATTAAGTAGTTTTTAATTTGAGTAGTTTATTTTAAGTAATGAATCTATTAAGTGTTACAAAATGTTATGTCATATTTATAATAAATAATAATGGTGTTACTATTATTAGTTATAATCATGCCAAGAAAATGTTCAATAGTTAATTGTACCACAAATTATTTAACATCAACTTCAGAAGAAAAGCTTCATGTTTAAATGTTTCCAAGTGACACACAAAAGTTACAATATTGGTTGTCATCTATTCCAAATGCGTTTGAAAAAGTAACTTCAAATATGGGTGTGTGTGAAAAACACTGGCCACCAGGCTGCAAAATGCACAAGCCTCCTTGATCAAAGTTTGAGGTAAGCATCCTTAAAGTTGTTTTTATTGATAAGTTTTACAATGACTAATTTTAATAATATCATTTTTTTAGGTTCCTATTGATCCCCCATCTATTTTTCCTGGATGCACATCTTCAATGGTGCACCAAACAGTCTCAACACAATCAAGATCTACAAATATAAATAAAATTTCTTTAACATCACGAAATGCAATACCTGATGAAATAGATGATTTCAATCAAATTGATTTAATTAGATTATATGATGTTGAAATAATGTTATCTGAAATAAAAGAAAGGTAAAATTTTTTTTTTCCTTGTTTTATGATATTTGTTTGTTTTGATTTAAAGTTTACTTGTTATTAAATCTATTTTAGATATCCTCAATACTTTGCATTCATTGAAAATTCAAAAGTCATATTGTTTGATGTTTCTCAATCATGTCTACCTGAAACAACATTTTCTGTTGAAATCAACTGTCATTCATGTCAAGTTAATATTTATTGTAGGCATACAAAAGTTAACTGCTATGACCTGCCCAGTTTTTCTCATTGTCTTACTCGGTGGTCACAGCTTGAAGCTATTGTCAAAAGAGTTTGTACCTCTAATCCTGAAATAAAAGATGAGGTATTAAGTTTGATTAGTCAAATTGAAAATACATACAGTGACACTTCTGAAGAATTTTTTTTCCTCCTTAAACAACTACGCCTCACCACATTCTCCAAATGGACTGCGCTTTTCTACTTTATGTATACGTCGTGCACTTAAACTGTATTTATCCTCCAGATGCTATTATCGACATTTAAGAAATTTGCTTTGTTTGCCCAATCCAAAGACTCATTTCAAAATTAGGAAGAGTTAGAGAAGTTGGAAATGAAAAAGAGTGCAATAATACAATCAAAGTTGTTTTTGAAAATTTTAATAGTTCTGAAAAGCGTTGCTGCCTTCTCTTTGATGAGATGTATATTAAACCAAGTGTTAGTTTCAGAGGAGGACACCTCATTGGATATAGTGAGGACAATCCCACTAAAATTGCAAAAACGTTATTAGTCTTTATGATTAAACCTATGTTTGGTAAACCTTCTTTTGTTTGTAAAATCGTACCATTATTTAAACTGTCAGTGCACTTTCTTCACGATTTGATTATAAACATAAATAAACAAATAATTGATGCAGGAGGAGAATTACTGTGTTTTTTATCAGATAACCATCCCACAAATCGAAGTGTTTACCAAAGTTTCGTTGTTAATAAAAGTTTTCCATGGCAAGGTGTTATAGAAAAAGAAAAACCAGTTATTATGCTACACAATCCAGTTCACTTGTTTAAAAGTATAAGAAATAATTGGTTTACGGAAAAAACACAAAGAATTAGTTTAAAAATTAATAATCAACCTCTCTCTGGTGATTGGTCTCACATTGTTCAATTATATAACAGACAGAAAATTTGTGTTGCCAAAAATACAAAGCTTTCACGCAAGTCAGTGTACCCTAGTTTGATTGATAGACAAAATGTTGCAAACATGGTTGCTGTATTTAATAAAAAAAACTGTTGCAGCATTGAGATTAGCTAATTTTGAGAACACTGCCTGTTTTTTAGCACCAATTGTTTTATTATGGAACATGCTAAATGTAAAGAGGAAAGGTTGTGATGTTTTACTTAATGATATCAATAGGTCTCCTTTCCAGACACTCGATGACCTTAGATTTAAAGAAATTTTAGCATTTGCTGATGCAACTTCTAAGATGTCAGAGGGAAAGGGATTAAAGCGTCATAATACTTTTACACCAGAAACAAAACATGCTTTAGTTAACACCCTACAAGGATTGGTAGAATTAATAAAAAAACTACTTTCAGAAGATCACCAATATGTTCTTCCCGGTATTTTTCAAAGAAATCGTCTTAAAGGTGAATTTGGCATCTACAGGTAAAATTATTTTTGTGTTGCTTATAGTTAAGAAAATTTTGTAGATTTGAAATCTAAAAAACAAATATTTCTCTAATTTATTTAAATGTATTATTTTTTATCATACATTCATTGCTCATACATTCAGACTGTTGCACTATGGATCTAATGGAAGAGGATATTATTTATTTAGATGAATGTTTAATGCAGACAATGAATCTATTAATGATCAGGAGAATGCTGCCCTTTTTTATATGGCTGGTTATGTACAGCACAAGATCGATCCGCAGCGTGTAGTTGATACAACAACATCACAATCAGCTAGTTCTGAATTTACAGATTATGTTTCACGTGGTAAATTGTGTTATCCTGGTGATACTCTTCTCCAGTTTATTTGTGTTTGTTATCTACTGTTTAACAGCATTCCAATGTCTGAAAAACGTTTTCAATGTGTTGTTTATGCAAAGAAATTATTTTTATTCTTGCATTCAACATTACCATTTGATTTAGAAACAGACAGTATAGGTGTTGCAAAAGTTATCTCAATAATAACTAACTGTTTCTTGAAAGGTGTTACGACCCTTGATAATACATCTGATATTGTTTCATTAAACATTGAGGACAGAAAAAGAAAGAAACTTAATACTTAGTGGTCTGATTATTTAGTTGACGTTGGTGATATAATTAATAACGTTTTGAAATGTATTTATGGCTTTATATGGTTTAAAATTTATTTATAATTATATATTTATTATTATGATATGAATATAATATAGTATGATAAGTAGTGATTAATTAGTTTATTAACATTGTCTTTAAAAATAATTATTTACAGCTAATTTACGGATAATTTACAGTTTGCTTGTAAAAAGTTGTTTTATTTTTAACACTTAATCAACACAATTTAATTTTGTTTGAAAATAGTGATAAATAATTGAGCCATAACATTTTTTTATTAAATTTCTATTCATAATTATATTTTTGTTTCATAATAGAAGTGTTTCGCTTTTTTTTCATCGGCCCTGTCGTCAAAACTACATGAAATTAGAGTTTCGCGTCCCGTTGTTTTAGTAGTCCCTGGAGAGGGGGGTATATATTATATATCCCTCTCTCTCAGTGAGAGAAACAGTCTATTATTTATTATTTTTAATATTAAATACTTAATCATAAAGACATTTATAAAAATAATTTTTATAAAATTATGAAGTTGAATTAGCTAAATAAAATGCATTCGCATAAAGCGAATGCATAATAAACAATACTAAAGAGAAATAAACATTTTGAGCAACATATCTGATGATTTTGTTTTGTAGCTTGAGTAGAATTAATAATAATTGAAACTCGCACTATAGATCATCTATTAGATGCAAAAAATAAAATAAAAAGGATTACTTTTATACAAAAATTTAAAATATTATTTTAAGAAGATATATTTTCAATTTTCCAAGTTTTAACTGCTCACAGAAGTTGTAACAGCAACGCTTTTTAAATCACTGGAAAAACGGCGAAATATTTCGCAAGAAACCCAGTAAACTTCCAGCGAAATTTAAGATCACTGAAAGTTTTTTACGTTGGATATCCAGCGAACTTCTAGCGAAGTCTTTTGTTTCCATGGAAATCCAGCGAACTTTTGCTGGAAGTTCGCTGGGTTTTTTTGTAAGGGTGTGTCTTTTCAGAACATATTTAGTTGCGTTTAGATTTTGGCCGTGTGTTTTATGCATATGTTGAGGGGAATAAGCAATGAGTATATTATGACATTTCTAGTGTTCATCTGTACATCTTTAGCAGTTATTCAAATCTAAAAATCTCAAAGTTTCCACGCTTCTTAAGTTATTTATTTTTTACCAGGATGACAATGGGTGTAGAGGATAGTTGGCATTTGTATACTTAGGATTGACTATTATCATAACTTCACCTGCCTATTCAGGAATTCCTTTTTTAAATAAATATTGCCTTCACAACAAGTGATGAGATGTTTTAAATATTCTTGAATACAAATGATTATGTTACATGTGTAGGAGGTAAGCTATGTTCCAGTGAAGAATCTGATATGTGCGTATGTGTCTTCGTAAATTTGTACAAGATATTCTACTATAAAGTTAATCTAACGTGTTTTGGTAGTGAGTATAATCGTCAATTGTATTGAGACCGATAAGCTATTATAAGGTCTGAAGGAGGTAGCTAGAGGGTAAGAAGTGATATTATTAGGGATTTGAAGACCTTTCTGAATTAGACGTCTTTGCGGTTGGTTGGTGGTATGGAAGTTGCAGATGAAGGGTCAGCATTCATTTATTAATCTAAGCGGTTTCAGAAAGCTTATTACTTTTGTAATATTCTGAGAACAAAGTTTGAGACATAGATGCATTGTTGTTTGTCTCTAGACAGAATGTCGATGCGACATATAGCTTTAGTACGTTTGTAGATAACATTCCGAGACAGTTTATCTAGGATATCTACTTCCTTTAATAGATCCTTATGCTTTTTTAACTTTTATTTTTGAAATTGTAACAGTACAGCGGCATTAATAAGATTTTGAATATTGTTTAAAAGATGTTATTTATGATATTAGAGAAGTAAATTTAAACCTGATTCTTTCAGTAAATTGCAAGTAAACAAAACACTTTAAAAAAAAGTCCATAATTTTTTGCGCGTTTCCTTAGTGAATGGCTTGGATTAATCTTAAAACTGTTAAGCAGTTTTCTAACTAATTTTTTATCTTTAAAATCCGTTTTTCTTCCACCACCAGATTTACGTTTGATCAATTTTGTTTGAGAAAGACGTTGGGTTACACGACTATCGATGTATGGATGTATTAGTAACGATTTTGCTATCGAATTGTAGCTTCTATTGGGATTTTTCAAATATTTGTGCATAATTTTTTATCTTATGTCTTCTTCTTATGTTATTTTTAAAACTAATTTAAAGTTATATCGAAAAACTAACTCATTTTTTTAAAACTACAAGACGTTGTAAACAAAAAACAAAACAATTAAAAAGGAATTTAATATAACCACTGAAAAAAAAAATGACGTATTTGTTCTTTCACATTTATTTCGCGTACACGCTTTACAAGAAATCTCCCATCACACATCTGTCGTTATTAAAAAAATCTACGCTACGGTTCTAGGAAAAAATGCTCCCGAGAAAAAAACCTCCCGTAAAAAAATCCCCCGCAAAAAAGAAAATTAAAAAAAAAATTGCTTTGAAATTGATTGATTGCCTGCCCAAACTAAAACCCTCAGTCAATGTAGCGGCACTCTACCTATTTGTCAGTCAATGTTTGTACACTTCTTTTATGTTCTACCTATTTGTCAGTCGATGTTTGTACACTCCTTGTATATTCTACCTATTTGTCAGTCAATGTTTGTACACTCCTTGAATATTCTACCTATTTGTCAGTCGATATTTGTACATTCTTTGTATGTTCTACCTATTTGTAAGTCAATGTTTGTACACTCCTTGCATGTTCTACCTATTTGTCAGTCGATGTATGTACACTCCTTGCATGTTCTACCTATTTGTCAGTCGATGTATGAAAAACGAAGGATTAACGTTCTGTTTGCATTTTAATACATATGTATGAAATATTTATATTATAAACAACTATTATATTTCCTCTGTAATGCAATTAGCCGGAGGAGGATAAACCACATTACCTAATAAGCTATCTACAAGCATAATTTGAGAATGCAGAGTTGTGATGAATGCTGATGATATTTGTTTTGAAAGTGTAAGAAATGGAAATTTCCGCACAAGGTTAATCCAATTATCTATTTGCCTAAAATAAAATTGTTTTACCATCATTACGAATAATTATATTACCAGGTTCATTTTGGAATGAATTATTGTGTTGAATTTGAAGCAGTTTACTACTCTTAAAAAACTGTTAGAAAACCAGAGATATCTTTTTCTTCTATAAAATAACTTTTAAAACTTGCAACTTTTGTTCCATCGAAAAAGTACAGTGCCAGTGAAACATTTCGCTTTTCGTAACCAGGAAAACTTTAATTTGTAAGCTTTATATTTCATCAAGAATTATCAATAATATTTAGATTACTACTTAAAAGATTGCAAATTATATGAATCAGGAAAGCTAGATGAAGGAAGCCAATTCCAAAAAACTGTTGTTAGGGGAACAAAACTAGACTAGTAAGAGTTTTTGGAGCACTTAGAAACAGTAACAGAAAAAGAATGAGATTTAATTTAATGATGAGTAACACGAGAGTGAATTTTAGTAGATGGCACAAGAGACACTAGCTCTTTAGAGCAGTGCCCATTATAGCATTTGTAGAAAAGAGAAAGAGAAGCAACATTACAACGATGTGATAATGGTTGAAGGTTGGCTGCAAGAGCAGGTCCAACTATATTAACAATGCGTTTTTGCACCTGGTCTAAAAGAGAAAGGGCATCGTTAGAAGATCCGCCCCAGATATGGCAACAGTATTCCATACAAGGCCGGATTTGAAATTTATAGAAACAGAGAATAGAATCCAGAGTAAGAAAATTTTGAGCTCGATAAAAAGATAAAACTTTAGCAGATGCTAATTTTGCAACGGATTTAATATATAGTTTCCAAGAAAGATCATAAGTAAGAGATAATTCTAGATGATGAAGGATAGATGACTCATCAAGTACATTACCGTTCATTAATATAGGAAGATCTAAATTATTGTGATAACGACTGGCTGAAAAAAATTGAGTTTTATCTGAATTAAAGTTTACCAGCCACTGTGAGCCCCATGCTGTAGCAAAAGTGAGATCTATTTTAAGCTTAAATGCCCCCTCCAAGCAATCAGAGAGAGTTGGCTTCTTACCATGACAAGAATAAATGGTAGTATCATCAGCAAACAATGCCACCTTATATATGAGAATATTTGGAAGATCGTTAATGTAAGTTAAAAAGAGTATAGGGCCAAAAATTAAACCTTGAGGAACCTCTGAGGTTACAGAATAAGAAGAAGAGAGCTGTCCATCAAGGACAACTTTTATACTACGATTGGAAAGAAAGGATTCAATAATCATAAGGATGTTTCCAGATACACCGTAAGTTGATAGCTTATGGAGAAGGCTAGCATGCCAAACTTTATCAAATGCTTTTGAAATGTCAAGAGCGATGGCCATAACCTGTCCACCTTTATCTAATGCACAATAAAACCTATCGGTTATTACTGTTAGCCGTAGAAATCAGTCGTAGAAAGAGGAGATCAAAATCCATATTGGATATCAGGTAGAACGCAACTAGTGGAATCAAGAGATGATATTAATGAAAAGTTCTTAGCAACAATTCAGCTTTGTCTTTAGGTGAGGTGATAAAGTCTGAACCGCACAAAAGAGGTGGAATTACAGACTTACCCTTATTTTTGATACTATTAAAGATTCTCCAGAAGTCACAAGACCTAATTTTTGTAATGAAATACAAGATTTCATGACCTGAGAATAGCGGGCTTTGAAATTAGTCAAAATCTTTTTACAATGGTTCCTAGCAGTAATAAACAGACGTCTGTTTTCTGGAGAATTGTTTTGCTGATAGATTTGGAAGTAAAGGTTTCAATTGGCAATTGAAGCAGCACAATGTGAGGAAATCCATGGAGAAGAGTGAGGCTTCACCTGGAATTGTCGAGAGGGAATAAAGGATTCCATGCCAGCCTGAATCCAAGAAGTTATGTAAGAAGCACATTTGTCAACAGAAAGACGAAAGATTTCTACGCAAGGGTTATCACGAAGAAAATCACAGAAAAAGTCCCAGTCAGCTTTAAGGTAGTTATAAGATGTACGATGATAGGAGGATTCTGATGATATAGAAGAATGAAATAAAAGTTTTAGAGAGACCAAACCATGATCGGAAGCACCTAAGGGTGAATGTGGAGAAACTGAGCACTGACTAGAATTAGAAACAAGGCATAAGTCGAGTAGTGAAGGTAAATGATTCGGGTTGTCTGGAAAGCGAGTTGAAAAGCTGATTATTTGAGTTAGGGATTGAGAAAGACAAAAGTTGGGGGCTTTAATGCCTACAGAGTCACTGACACTAGAGCCAAGCCATTCAGTGTGATGAACATTTAAGTTACCAACAACAACAATATTAGCTGATGGATAAAGAGAGAGGGCTTGGTCAATATGGTCAGAAATAACATCAAGAAGAGTGCAGTCTTGAGATGAAGGAGAGCGATATAGAACAAAGAGAAAGATGATAGAGTGAAGTGGTGCTTAACTAAAGCACATAAAAGAATAGTCTGTGGATTCAAATCTAGTTTCCCGAAAAATGGGTAAATTCTTACAAATGTAAATGCCCAGGCCAAGCATGTGACTATTGGAGTCTTTATGAATTAAAGGAATATAACCATCAACACTAAGATCACAAGATGAGACAGCTGAACTCAAATTAGTCTCACAAAGAGCAAGTAGGTCTAGTGAACTTTGCAAGAGAAAAAGCACAACAGAAAAAAAGTTACTTTGAAGACCACGAATATTAGTGAATGATAGATTTAGCAAATTTGGTGATGACTGTGGTTTTTTGTGTTTTATAGTTTTTGTTACTTTATTCATTTTCAAATTTGTTAAAGAACTTGACTTGAAACATAGATTTATTATAATATTTCTAATAAAAGAAACTATGATTATTATGTACAATGCAAGATTCTCTAGCATACTCAAGTTAGTTTATTTGATATTATGTCTAGTTAAAAATAGTTTGCTGTTTGAAGCCAAAACTACACACAGAATACAGAACCTTTAATACCAAAGCTTTGAACTAGGAAGAGGTCAGGAACACCGTTTTTTCCTATCTGTCTTGAAAATCTCCGTTTTCGTATCTGTTTTGGTTCAGAGGCAATAAACTTTGGAGGGTTTAAAATAAATTTTTTGAAATGATATACAGCCTCTTGCAAAAAGTTTAGAACCTGTTAAGTATTTTTTGGTAAATCCATAGTTTATTGAAACTAACATATGACACACACAAAGCTAAGATTTAATTTACGTTATCTACATACATGTGAATGTATATAATACTTATTTTAATTTAAGCTTTTGCAAGAGACTTTAGTATTAGCATTGTTTGTAGATGCATTTAAAAAGCTAGATGAAGTGGACTTTATGATCGTATAGCCAGATTACATCAGCTTGTAAAATAGGGTACACCGCATAAATTATTTTAAATAAAATAATACGGCATACTCATAATCCTATATAAAATTAATTTTTATTTTGACTTTCTTTTTTTGTATTTTTTTAATTTGAAAATGTTTTGGTATTACAATAGACACATTTAATTGTGCAGTTAATAGTTCAGGGATCGTCCATAAATTTTGTAACGCGAAATTAAATTTGTAGACAATTGACACAGTATTAAAAGTTTTCCATCGCAGAGTCTTTAATTAAGTATATAAAGTATATAATATAAATATAATAAGTATATAATAAATATATAAGTAAATAATATATAATACCAAGTATATAAACAACTTTTCAAGTCCAGCGAAAACCGCCGCGCAAAAAAGAAAAATGATCTACTACTTATATTTTTTGAATAAGTTTTGCGTTTCGTAATTTATGGAGGATCCCTTATAGTAAAACTTTACACGTTTTTAGTGAACGCGTTGTAACTAGAGAAACTAGTTACAACAATCTGAACTTAAAATATGGTTTAAATTTAATAGTTATGCCAGTTATGCGGTTGCCTTTGTTATCGGGAGGCTGAATAAGTGCGAGTTTTATAAGTGAGAACTGGGATAAGTGCGAAGCAGTTGCAAAAATTGGAATAAGAACAAACGGACATAAGTGCGAAATGACATGTGTGCTGAAAAAATTTGCATAAGTGCAAACTGGCATAAATGTGAATTGGCTAAAAGAATTTGAAAACATTGGCTTAAGTGCGAACTGGCATAAGTGCGGAACAGTTGCAAAAACTGGCATTATTGTGAACTGGCACAAGTACAAATCCTATGCTAATGTTTCCAAATTCTTTTGGCGCACTTATGCAAGCTTTTCTGGCGCACACATCCCAGTTCACACATAAGCTAATTTATGCTTTGCACTTATGCCAGTTTTTACAACTGCTTTGCACTTATGCTAATTCTCATTAATGCTACTTCGTACTTATATCAATTTACACTTATGCCGAGGTTGCATATTCAATGGCGCACTTATGCCAATTTGCACATATGGCAGTTTACACTTATACCAGTTTTTGCAACTGCTTTGTACTTACGCTAGTTTACATTTAGGGATCGTCCAAAAGAGGAATAGGGGGTCTGCAAAATGGTGAATATGACAGGGGAGGGAGCAGTAGGTCAATTATTAAAGTATGGAGACACTAAAAAAATTATTAAAGTATGGAGACACTAGAAAAGGGTGCTCAAAAAAAGTATGGCAAAATGCAGGGGGGGGGGGTGTCCGAAAAAAAAGCTGTAATGTAAAGATACTGTGCACGCTAAGTAGTCGTATGTCAGCAATTTAAATTATTTTAAAGTTATAAGTCATTGTTAGTTACAACATAAGTAAATTTAACCTTAGTTCACCTACCATAAAATTAATTACATTTATGACAATTGTATTCCGACAAAATGTTCTGATTTCAAAAATACATTTGTCATATTTGAAATACAGTGCTCTTAGTTACGGGGAAAGTTTTTGTTTTGTTTTTTTAACAATTTAAACAAAAACTTATACTGATTTTAGCCAATTTTGTTAAATTTCAACGTGTAATTAATTTTACATAAAAAGATTTTGTATTTTAAACTTTGAATGCAAATTTCTCAATTTAAACAGTGTTGTATAAGACACTTGTATTCCGGGCTGACGATAAGTATAAACATATAAATGTTTGGTGTTTGCTCCATGTCCGGAAGTTAGCTATCTCTAAGAACAAAAAATGCTAGATCCGCCCCTGCGTAGTATATATAGCGATCTATAGTGCCTCGTTAGTTATAGTATGCTATACAAGTACTCATTAGTGATAACATATGACAATTAAAAATTGGAATTGGTGTGCTAAAGATCTCTTAAAACTGTTAGATGCATTCAGGCTCTCCTTCGCATTACCTTGCATTTCAGCGGCAATTCTTTCAACTAGGTTTTTAACGAAAATAAATAGTTTTCAAGTTTTAGGTGGATAAAAAAATTCCAACAAACAATATTTTTCTTATATACATAAAATAAACTTATTTACATATAATACATATAAAAACACGACTAGAAAAAACTCTCAATTCTAATATATATATATATATATATATATATATATATATATATATATATATATATATATATATATATATATATATATATATATATATATATATATATATATATATATATATATATATATATATATATACACACAGAGACACACACACACATAACTGACCTATCAAAATCTAAAAATAATGTATAAAGCAGTTGTTAAAATATTTAATAAAAACATGTAAGTGTATATAATAAGCAAACTTGTTGAGTAGGGCTGATCCAAAGTTTGAACGTAAAAATTAATAGCACCAGTCATCACATTGGCTAACAAAAAGTAAACTAACAAATTTTGATTGACTACTTTGTACAATAATGGAATATTATAATTGGTTATCTCATTCCTTCTTTTCTTCTTGACATTTATAATTGCAAAAGTTACTATGTCCACTATTAAAAAACCCAGAAGTAGAAAAGCATTGAAAGAAATCTGAAAGCAAAAATAAGATAAGTTTGCCATTTGCCTTGATATAGGCATAGATAGATAACCCAAAATGTTTGTAAGGGTACATCCGATAAAAAACCACAACCCTAACCAACACACCTTGTTTATTGCTTTGTATTTTGTTTTAATTAACTGTTTGCCAAAAAAAATTCCGAAAAAGTAAATACTAATATATCCAAGAGTTGAACAAATTCCTTCTCTATTTGCATCTATAAAACTAACTCTCTGGTTGTCTCCATTAAAACCACTTTGGATTATACTTGCTAGCCCAAATGAGGACAACATAGTCTGATAAATAATGATAATTCCAAAAGATATCATAACCAAACAAGTTTGCTTCAGTAAAAATGGTAAAATATACAATATCACAGAAGCAAATATTTTGACAAATGCTAGGGTTATAAAAAAGTTCCAATGAACTCCATATTCAGAAATGTTTTCTTGATAATTAGCTATTTTAATTAAAGTAACACGAAAAATACCTAAAGCTAATAAAAATATTGAACTTTTAAATGTTTTAATTAAGATTTGAACATTTAGTTTATTGCTTTGCCTCACAAACGATGAAGTCATTGCAGTACTAAAAATAATGGAACCAACAGCACAGTCCATAACACCAATGCCAAAAACGTCAGCTTTTGCAAACCTTCTTGGAAATACATTAAAATCTACAGCTAAAATACAAACAGCAGTAGCAATTTGAATGTTGGCTTTGTATATACTAATGTAATGAAAATCTCCAGTATCCATCTCTTTAATGAAATTCAAGATAGTCATAAAAGATTTTTTTTCTGTATACAAATACAATAAAATTAACACAGAAATAAGAAGAATGACTACAGATAGACAATTAAAATTTGAAAAAACTGTAAAAAAAAGCACCATGGGGATTACTATTAAAACATTATCGATACACAAATCAAGAAACCAATGCAGTCGGTTTTGAATGTAGATTAAACGAAAGCCAATTGATAAAACACAGCATAATACAGAAAGAGTAGCTGTTGAAAAAATATCTATTAATGTTGTGCCATGAGTGTTTAAGATGAAAAGCTCCTTGGCTTTTTTCAGATCTGCATCCATATGATTTTTTTCTTTTTACTAAGAATACTAACTAAAAAAAAACAAAAAACTAAAATATATACACCTAAGTATGCAGTTCATACCTAAATAAGTTGGAGCTTTAGTAATTACATATATTTACTAAGGTTTGGACAGGCATTAACTATGTATGAATAGGGTGATGATTGCCCTGGTTTTTATGTAGAAGAGCACAATGCTAAACTATCTAAAATTGGTTTAGAGCTGTCCTGCGTAAAAACCGGGACAATAGTCAACCTATGTATGAAGATTATCTAATAAAAAAAATTATCTTTCTTCATTTTTTAAATCTTTTTCTAAAAAGAATGGGAAGAATTTATTACAATCATGTTTTATAAAACAATGCAGTAGTATAAAAAGTATATAAAAAATAATTTAAAAAAAATGTATTTCTACTGCGTTATAGCATATTAAAATCCAATATATTCTGTTGACTTTAATTTTTAAACCGCACACTTTAAGCACACAAATAGATACACACAGCAACAAAAGATACACACAGCTCGGTGCTTTTTTAAGAAAAAAGAAGCAAAATAATTTAAAAAAAAATGCAAATAGATAAAGAAAATTTTTTGACTCAATAGAAGTCTTTTATACAAAAATATTGCACGAGTAAATCTAAACACTATTTATGAATGCTGCATAATCACAAAATAACTTTATTGATTATGTCATACAGCACATTACAGATCAGTTAGCACCTATCTAAAAATAGATAGGAGAGAGATCTAATATCAGAAAAAAAAATTCTAAAACTTGAACAAATTTATAGCTACACTATGAACACAATATAGCTACAACATAAAATACAGCTAGCTGTATTTTATGTTGTAGCTATAATAATAGCTATAAAAGACAAGCTATAAAATAGCTATAAAAGACAAAAATAGCTATAAAAGACAAAGAGAGACAGCCCAAAAAAAATCAATTTTTTATCTACTACGTAGTAGATAAAAAATTGATTTTTTTTGGGCTGTCTCTCTTTGTCCTTTAGACAAATAATTCTAAATATTAAAAATGTTAAAATCATCAAAAAATAATTTTTTTTAATTAGATTCTAGAAATCTTTTACAGTTATAAAAAGAAAAAAATTTAATTTTATTAATTTACAAATTATAATTTTTATATACATCCATTTGACATGGATTACATATTATTTTTAAATTATTAAATGTGTACTAAAGATAGAGTTCTAACTGCACTACCTTAAATTTCTCTTTGATCAAAATAAGATAAAACTAATTCGAACCAGAGTACTTGTTAAAGAAGAAAATAATAGTCAATCTGCAAACAGATATATATATTTTAGGTACGCGAAAATCGCGTTTTAAAATTTGACGGAACCGAATTTTGTGCTAAAACTTTGTTCAACGTTTTTTGAATTTTTTTTGTCAGACCATAGTCATAAAAAGTTCATTCTTATGACTATGGTCAGACAAACGTTTTGTTGAGGTTTTTTCTTTAGAAATATATATAACATAGAATATTTTTGAAAAGAAGATACTTTTAGCTAGATTTTTATGTAATTATATATGGGTGATAAACTTTATATTGACTTTATTGATATTCAAAATTTACTTGATGTTGTCACTGAGACATTTTTTAAACCTATTAAGACATTTTTTTTACATATATTTTTTATGAACTTGTCAAATTTAAAAAAAAAAAAAAAAATTATGTAGCAGATACCCTAAAAAATGTTGAACTTTTGGTAACTAATTTTTAATGTTACATAATCGGCCATGGGAAACAATGGCGTATTTGAGGGGGCGGGGAGAGGTGGCAAGGGGTCATTTGCCCCCCATTGCTCGTATAATTTTTTCAAATAATACATTAATTAATAATTTATTTTAAAAATTGTCCGTTGGATAAAGATTATAAATCGTAATGATATCATACTTAATAAGAATTTTATGCCTGCACTGTGGTTACAATGATTTTGTCGTGGTGATAATATTCATAGTTTTTAAACGGTATAGAAGATAATCTTCTATACCGTATAATACGGTAGTAATACCACAGTAACACGGTTCTGTAGTAATACGGATCGTATTACTACAGAACAGTGTTACTGTGGTTTTTGTTTACATCCCGAGTGAACAGAGCTAGTATCATAATCTGTGGTATTACCAATTAACTTAAACTAAGTATTTAGCCATGATATAAAGTAGGTAGTGATAATGACTAAATGTAAACTATTTTATTATTTATTACTTTATTGTATTTTGCGTTTTATTTTGAGTTTATATGTATTTAATTTTAATAAAATCTCAACTATTAATTTGAATATGAGTAAACGCAACGCTACACAAAGTTTATTATCAAAATGCTCGACAAACACCCGAAAAATAAAATTACTAATGATATTTCTCCGAATTTGAGTAAATCAAATGTCGATATCAAAAAACTACCAAATTCTCCAGATCTACCTCAGTGTCTGCAAGCAATTAAAGATCAGAATAGTCAACCATTTATTGTAAGTACATCAATGAATGTGTGTAATGTATTTACTACCGACGTTGTTTACTTTGTACTAAAAAAAGATACTGTATCAATTTTTTTTTTTTTTTTGTTATTCCGATCTTGTCACAGAGCACCGCGGAAATGCATTTAACCTGGAAGTTCACGCCTCGTTCCTTACCGTGACGCAAAAATATGTTCAAAGCTCGTTTCGACCCTGGACCTCCTGCTTATAAAGCAAGCGCTCTAACCACGGCCACGGCCGCACATTGTATCTGCGCTCCCGGGTGGACTTGAACCACCATCTTTTCGGTTAATAACTGAAAGCGCTAACCAAGCGCCAAGGAAGCTTATTCAAATAAATTTACTGATACTATGAAATATAAATTAGCCTAAAACATATTTTTGTAGGTTAAAAACATGGTTAAGATTGAGAATAGGCTAAAATTAATTAATGGGCTTGGCTTTGCTGCATGTTCACAGGCATATTATTATATCCATTGATGATATAATCGACAAATTTTGTAAAATAAAGAGAAATATAGACTTTGTTATTTAAGTATTTGACTATCAATCTTATTTTGGTATATATTTTGTACATATACATATAATGTTAAATAAATATTTGATTCAATTCAATTTGATTCTTTTATTTTTACTTATTTACGCAAAACGCGAATGAATAACAGAGCTAAGCCATAGGTAATTGACAGTAAATTATTTTTAGTTAGTATAGAAAAAAAATTAATTTCTCCCCCACTCCTCCCATGGCGTCAACTCTAATACGCCCTTGAGGGGAATTAGGTGGTTGGGTGAACTTCAATTAGGAATGCTATAAAATTATTTGTTATATATATATATATATATATATATATATATATATATATATATATATATATATATATATATATATATATATATATATATATATATATATATATATATATATATATATATATATATATATCAGGGCCAGCGAGGGAGAGGGGCAAAGGGGGCATGCGTGTCCCGGGCACCATGATAGTAGGGACGCCAGAAGACATAAGACAAAAATATTTACTTAGTGATGTGCATAGAGTTGCTTTGCATATCACTAAGTAAATATTTTTGTCTTTATTTATAAACTTTCCTTTATTTATATTATCAAAGAATTATAATTTTTAAATAATTTATCTCTTTTTTTTTGACTGGTGGGAACCAAACATAAAAAAGTTTGATATTTTATATTGATGACATTAAAGTAGACACTAGATCTTATCCAAACAAAACATTTTATTGCTAAAAATATTATTTTTGACGTTATATCAGAAAAAAATCTTATTAATACTTTAATGATTGTTGTGAAACAAAATTTAATCCCGATTTTAAATAGCAAAATTAAAAAAATTTAATTTATAAATTTTATTTGATAAGGTTTAACGATTTCTTGAGGAGTGTTAAAATCTTGACGCAAATCAAATTTTATGTTTACCTACAAAAAAGGAAACAAACTCAAGACTTATAATGAATTATAATTTGACATGAATTTTTCAATTATTTAAATATTAGATAGTTGTAAATTGTTAATAAAAGTAATAATACAGTGTTACCAAGGTGAAAAAATATTAAGATTGAAAAATTCAAAAAAAAATTATGAGGTTTTAAGTAAAAAACTTTTGATTTGTTGACGGAACTGTGGTTAAAACTGTGGTTATATTGGTATATAACCACAGTATTGTATTTATAATAAAAATAACTTATACAAAGTTTTTTTGAAGATTCATTTACAATTAAATGAGCACCTGCATATTGAAAATACGAAATTTGGAATCTGTTGTCTATGAGATTCTACTATTTGGAGATCATTTTGAAAATGTATCTCGTCCTTAGTTACACCCATATTTACACCCAGAAAGTCATGGTACATCTTCACATCATGCTCTGCTGCCTCATTTACCACCAGAAGTTTGTTGGCAATCACTTTCATGTAATGGTAGTCTTCCCTATTAATCCAATCATACTCGAGTCATACTCGCAAATTTTGCCAAACTTTCCACAAAAATTAGTAAAGTTAGCACCAGTAAAGTTATTTACTGGTACGCTGGTTGGTACAAGGACAAACAAGCAACCACTGCACATAAACTGAAACTGTGAACATAACAAATTGTTCCAACTTTTTTATTTGGTTGCTAGTAATAATTTTTAGTAGTAATAATAAACTAGTAATAATTTATCTGTCTAGACAGAAGTACAATCTTTAGAGTATAAAGCAGTTTACTCATATACTTTGCTTTTTGAAGGGCACCAGATTAGAGTATCTTGAAGTTCTTTGGTTCAAATCTTTGGTTCAAATACATTGTGTCAATGGAACCGAATAAAGAGGAAAACAATGACTATCATCATTAGAAAATACATTCTTTAAGAAACCATGATTTTTTTTAAAAACTACTAAACTTCAAATTTTATTGAGTATGTAAAAAACTCACAAAGCGGGAAGATTTGCAGCCTTAAATTGTTATGCATTTATGTATTTTAAATAAAACAACTCAAGTAACTTATTACTTAATAAGCTAAAGTGTTATACCAAAGTTATTAACACATTTTTCTTAACTTACGGTCAAGAAATAAAATGTAAACGCAGAGAACACCAGCAAACTATTATGTAAGATAAACACAATAATTATCAAGAGATCATTTTGAACTACGCTTTACACAATAAACCATAGCTAGTAGATTCTCTTGGCTTTCTGGTGTTTTTGCCACAGTGTTTGCTTGAAATAAATTTGTCATTTTGATCGTTAAATATGTCTATTTAATGGTTAAAACGGTTCACAGTAATAAAATATAAAAATATACATATGTAGAATAATAGTTAAGATATTCCTCGTAATTAATCTGGAATCATAAATGCTGTGAATAAATCGTATTTTCCAAATAAAGAATGTTTTTTTGATTTATTTATTTATTTTTTATTCGAGTTACATAAGACTTAGAGTTTATTAATAAATATTTTTATTGTGTATTGAAAGTTGACTTCCAATACACAATAAAAATACTTTATTGAAAAAAAGGTTATTTTCATAGCCACAAATATAGTAGCATATTTACTTAACCAAGTATAGCGTAAACTCAAAATTTTTTTATTTAATTATATTTGTCATATGAAAATGTTTTGCAAAAATACCATAAAAAGGAAACGGCGTGTGATTGACAAAACCGCAAAAAATTTGTTACATCTCCAAATGTTATTGGATTGGTTTATTTGGTATGACAAACTTAGGGGGTTATTTAGCTCTTTCTCTTTATTAATTTTGTTTTCTTAACTTTGATAATAGTTTGTTATTAGTATTAAAGTCAACGTTTATTACTTTTCTGATTTTATTTGAGAGGCTGTAAACACTTATTAAAACCATCGTGTTTTTTTAGTGTTTTTTAAATTATTTAATGTTGCTAACACTTGTTGCTATGGCTGATAAGTTTTTATTTGTTGGAAAATATCAGAAACAGTGCTTATATTTAAAGTGTTCTTTAGATCAAGAAAATTAAGGCATTATTTAAAAAAATTTTTAAAATATAAATGCTTCTCCTTTCATTGATAAACAATTTTTTTTTATAAAGTTGCAGGTTTTAGTTGCCAAGAAAACTATTCAGAATTTTTATAAGGTATTTAACAAAATAGTTGGTTTATATTGCGTAATTAAGTTTCTTTTAACCATTCTCAGATTCTAACAGATCAAAACTAATTGATTATCCAACCAATGTTGTGTCCAAAGTAGAAAGGTGTAGCTAGCAGTAAATTTATTTAGGATTATTAAAATAATATTTGCTCAAATTGATTCCAAATGAGTTCCAATTAATCCTAGTTGGGTTTTTTTCAAAAAAATTATATTTAACTCATCTAATAAATTTTCAAATATTGATGCAGCCGCACGAAAGTTGGGGAAAACAATTGCTTCTCATATAACAAACAGCTTTTATTGAATGTAAATAAGAAACGTAAATTACTTTGTAAGTTTAGGGAAATTGCGACAAAAAGTTCAGCTTTTAATGTCCAAAACGTCACGTGATTGGAACGCCTGTTTTATATCAACTAAGTGAAAAGACGCATCTATTATGGAATGTAATTATTGCTTTGACTTAATTAGCTGTTTTATGTCAACACGAGTCTTTTAAGCATTAAGCCTTTTTTTCAATGTTTGTAATTTTATTGATGAAGTGACTTTGATAAATCAAGATGTCTCAAATTTTATCATTTTTTCGCAAAGAAAAAGGGTTTGTTAAATTTAGATTTTTGAACTTGGTTTGTTGCTATGCTTTTAACGTTTTAAGATAATTCTTCCTTATCTTTTTATCAGATTACTTTTTAAACAAGAATTTTTGAAATTTTTATTTTATGTTATTATTTACAAAAACTCAATTTTAATCAATTAAATATATAGAAATTCAAATCTATGGAACTGCATAAAAAATCGTAAATTGTTTGTAATAAAATTTGATGTAATAATAATAACTAACAATTGAAAAGATTTTTTTTGTAAAATATTTACGTAGGTTACCTTTGTTTGGTGAAAAAAAGTATGGCCAAAAGATTTCCAAAAAGTATAAATTGTCTGACATACTTGGCAGGTATTTGATTTAGGTTTTTTATTTTTATTGCAATCAATCACTGCATAGTATATTTGGTGTTTGAGGATGTAAGTAATATAAACCATTAAAATTTTTATCATTTAGGCATAAAACAAAGTGTAGACAGCTATTTACTTGCGCACGCTTAAAATAAACAAAAGGGGATTTTAAAAAATATTTGTAACTGCAGTTTGACAGAAAAAATGTCAGAAAAATCTAGGTCGGAAATTTGAAACGTTACATTGATGCAAAAACATTCAATTAAAGTTAAAATTTTGTTTTAACTAGTAATCAAAAACAAAACTTTCAAATTTTAATAAAATAAATAAAAATAAACTTTTTTAAGCTATGACAACTTTATTAATTTCTAAATTTTAAACAGTTCTATAAGCAAAGCACTTTGGTTCTTAATGACGTCATGTAATAAAGACGCAAAAGTGATGTTTGTTTAGTACAACACACTAATTTATTGTTTAAACAATTTTTTTTTTTTTTAATTGGATCAAAAATAACTTAATATATTATTCTGTGTTTTATTTAATGTGATTTTTCATTAAAATAAGAAATTATTACTATACAATCAAAAAGTTTTCAAAGTTATGTTGAGCTTAAATAATCTTTTGTTTGATAACGGTATGTTCAAGTGTGTACAAATATATACTATTGTATAAAGTTGTATTGATGGTGTTAACACACACAGAATAGCTTTATGGCGTGTAATCTTCCATCCTACTCTTATAAGATTTTATATAATCCCTCTTTAATTATTATCGCATTTTATTTTTTCTACGCTAGAAATTACTAAACATATATACTAAAAACTCTTTTTTTTTTTTTTTTTTTTTTTTTTATACCAAACTCTCTTGTTTCATGTATATTTCTTTATAGAAATGGAAATTTTTTTTTTTTTTGTTATTATAAACTGCCTTTTTTTTTTCAAAAAAGACCCCCTCCTCCACTCAAAATTTTCACGATACGGGCCTGTACAGTGTTATGTTTTCATAAGTTATAATATGGTATAATATAAAAATATGTTAGATGTGTAAGATGATCCGCTGTGAAAAGATTCAATATGTAAAATGGATACAAAAAAGTATCTGTTTTTACTATACATGTACGTCTGTCACGTTATTTACACAAAATTTTATTTTAAAAATTAGTTTTGAAAAATTTCTTTTTATTAAATATAGTTTTAAAAGAGTGCGACAGCATGAAGCATTTGTCCCACCTAAGATGATTTTATGATATAAAACTTTATTACTATTATTGGCATTAGCATTTTGTATTATAAGTTTTTCTATTTTTCTTTCAAATATGATAAATATGAAATTTTTATCCGATGCCTAGATTTTTAAAAAACTTTGTTTCAGTTTTTTGTGCAGGGGGTTTTAACATTCAAATTAAATCATATGCGGTGTTTACACAAAAAATTGTTTCTAAAAACGCTAAGAGCTCAGACTTTTAATTTAAAAATAAAAAATGTATAATAATTTTCTAAAATAGTTTAGAGCTAAACGAAAATAAGACGATAATATAAGATGAATAGTAGTAGCAACAGTAAAAATTACTGTACAAAACTTCCGAATTACTTTATTAAAAAAAAAAAAAAGCACCTAATAACCAATCTAAACAATCCACCACAAAAGCATATTAAAAGATTAATTGAATTGATTTGAGCTTTGCTGCAAGTTTATATACTCACTGATTTTTTAAGAAATATAACATTGAAAATAATCAACCAAAACACAGGTTCCCCCCATAAAAGTTTATTCATTTATGCTGATTGTTCAGCATTGACACTGATCACTTTTGTACGTTAACTTTTGGTTAAATGTATTAGCCATTGTATAATTGAGCAATATTTTTATACCAAAGGAAAACTAGGAAAAATATTTTTAAACAGACTGATGAAAAACAAAAGAGGTTAGTTGCATTATCTAACTGTCTATTAAAATGTTAATAACCCGGTGGGAAACGAGCTAGCGACTAGCTTTATAGCGATTTTATAGCTAGCCTTATAGCGATTTTCAAGCGATTTTTTTTTTCTTATTTTATTTTTTCCTAATGTCTTTAACATCGATTTTTAGTGTTGAGTCTATTATAATTATGAGAATAATTGAACTTCAAACATTGCGATTCTGTAGCAATGTGTCGCTAGCTTCATATTGTACCTTTGTAGCTAGCTACAAAATATCTACAAATCTATAGCCGGTTGGTTGCTACATATCAAAATATTTTAGACAACGATTTTATTACGATATGACTTAAGCTACAATAGCCAGTGGGTTTTAGCATATTAAGCTAGCTGTCCTCGTAGCCAAATCGCTCTCTTTATCTTTACAAATATCAATAAATTTTTGCTTACTTAAAAAAGCTAGCGATCCTCGTGGCCATATCGCTGTCTTTATCGTTACGATTATAGCTAGCTATTTACTAGCCGATTTCCCACAGGGAAGGAACAAGCTTTCTTAACGTTTTCGTGAAAAGCGCGGACAGAGGCTAGAGTATACCTAAAAAAAAAACTAGGAACAGTGTCTTTTCTTTGCGATGCTCATAAAATCAAGTTATCTTCTTTTAATAACAAATTTTAATGAAATATGTAATTATTTCGTTGAAAAGTAGAAAAAAATATTAAAAATATTATATAAAAACTAATAAAACCCATCACTGCATTTCAAGTTTAAGTTTGACCTGAAACGTTCTTCATATATAATATAGGGAAATTTAGCCAATCAGGGTTGCGGTCCCAGGCGGCGTGATGGCTCTGGGCAGCCCTGATAAAAACATTAAACATAGATTTAATAACAGCATAGATTCCAGCTGCGAGCTGCAAAAAAACCTGTTTTTACACGTCTTGGAAAAAGAATACAACTCTGAAACGTTCAACTTGAATATAAGTTAGTTTGTGTTGGTTTTAAAATAACAAAAGTTTTGAGTCTTTTTATTTAAGTAAATAACAAAAGTTAAAGGTATTGTCAAAAATAGCTCAAATAAAAAAATACCAAAAAATTTATTTGAGAAAACTTTTAGTTAAGGATATTTTGTTTTATGTTAAAAACATTCAACAATAGTACTTTATGTACATCTAAGTATTAAAATGAATGAAATGGAAAAATATTTTTATATATCTGCACGTAAGGCTGATAAATTTAGATAAAAATTATTTGTAAAGAACATTTTTAATAACTTTCATTTATCCTCTTTGATAAAGACCATCATAATTGTTCATAATTATTCATAATTATTCATAATTATTCGTAATTATTCATAATTATTCATAATTATTTATAATTATGAATAACAAAACTATTACCTTATAAAAATAAACGGTAGCAAGGATTTGAAAATCTGTAGAGGGGGATTTATACTTATTTATACTGTCGTTGCGGACAGGAGAATGAGTAGAAGGCAAAAAAAGGTTGATTTTTTAAAGAAGGAGGAGTGCGCATTGATTTTAGCCACAGCTATTACGTACATCCCAGGCACTAAACACCTAAAACTTAAGTTTAATTTGATCAGATTTGTCTTTAATAAAATAAGAAACACTTAATACCACCGCAAAAACCTGGTTCATTTACAATAAACATTATACAAGACAAATAACTGAAAGCATTAAGAAAGATATTTGATCCCCTACTAGTTTATACAAAATGCAAGATTTCTTTTGAGGCAAAAAAGTTTATCGATAATTTAAAGTTAATGCTCTCAGCATATTAACCATCAATTGAAACTAATGTTTATCAAAGTAGACGTTTGATTATAATTGTTGATTACAAACTATTTGTTTTACAAATGGTATTAACAGAGCAGCAGAGAGTTTTGCAAATGAAATATCTGTGCTTTTGCGTTACAAATAGTTTGATGAGACAAAAAAACTATTGATAAGCTTTTTCAGAAGTAGCATCAGAAAAAAAAAAGTTTTTTTATCAAAACTGATAGTCCAATAACTTCTGCCTTGACACTTCCATAGTGCTTTTTGGATTATTTTAGATTAACATCTTTTTTTATTTATATTTTTATTTATATCTTATTATTATATTTTTATTATATTTCATTATTTATATTTATTATTATATATATATTTTTTATTTATATTTTTATTTAAATTTTATTATTATATTATTATTATATTTTATTATTATATCTTTTTTTTTTATATATCTTTTTATTTATATTTTTATTTTCCTTGGTTAATATCTTTATGGGTTCTCCTAGATTAACATCTTTTTGGATTCTTATTATAGCTAAAATAACAGAAAAAAGATTTAATAAATGAACTGGTATTTCATACAAACATTTTTGATGCTCTTGGAGAACTTGAAGTTATGGAAAAAAAACTTTAATATTCAGCAGAATATTAATAGAATAGTCTTCCTTTATGTGAAATAGATCTTCTAATATTAGTTTTTATTTAGCTTACTTTATTTTGCTGTTTAAGTATATGCAAAATGTTCAAATATATAGAAAAGTACTGAGTAAGAAAAAGGCAATATATAGTCTTATTTCCGAAACTTATTTAAAACATATTTTACAAAACATACATTTACATTTAAAAATGACAATCGTGAAAAACTTTGTAAAAAAAATAAAAAAATAACTAAGAAGCGCTAAAATGTTGTTAAAAAATTATTGAATAAAAATAAATACTAAGAGTAAAAATACTAGGAGGTTTACTGGATTGTTAAAAGTTTAAATATAGTAAGTTTCTTCAAAAGTATATCATGGCTCCCACAAATAAAGTAAAAGTCTAACTAATAATTTGATTCTGCCTCATTAGTTAATATATTACCTATCCAAATATTAGTTTAATATTACTCTAGGAGTCAGTGGTGTCGTGGGGTGGGGGGTCACTCAGTGTGGTAAAGTTGTCGCCCCACTTAAAGTAAAGGTGTCACCCCACTTGACTTTTAGACTTTTATTAACATGGCCAATCACACGGGTTTTAATTTCTAAATTCAGATAATCAAAGAAAAATTCCAAATATAAAAAACTCAAAGTATATTATGATTTGCGTAAAATCTAAAAATTTACCCTCTTCCTACCTCCTACTTGTTGTTTAGATCACCATTAATTACTTTTTTTATATACCATTTTTCAAGTTTTTAAATGGAAAAAAAATCCCCCTGATATTGTTGCAAAAAAAGTCCGACCAAACAGGATTGCCAGATCAGCTATTTTTTGGGCACTTTTGGGCATTTCTTGATACTTTATATATATCCATATTTATAGTATTTAACTACTAAATACTAAAATACTATGACTGATAATTCTTGTTAACGCATACCGCAAAATATCTGAGGACCCGACTACCTAATAAAATAAAGCCATCTTTTCAATTTTTGCAACCTAATTCGAAAAAATATTCGATGCTTTAATGAATCACATGGAACCGTGGAACCGGTGAAAAACAAACTCATCAACCAAGAAATACAAGAGATATAAAAATTATTAATATTAAAATGTTTAGTATAAAAAATAACAATTTATAAAAATAAAATTAAACATTAAACAACGCTATTATATTATTCTTATATATAAAAAAAACATGAGTTCTATAATGTTTATTGAGAAATAAATCAAGTAAAAAGTTGTTTTTGCATTTGATTATTTTGATTTCCAGAGGTGGTTTTTCAATTGTATACCACGGAGAAAATATTGTAACAAATGAACATTATGCAGTCAAAAGTATTGAAAAAAAGAAGCTTGTTGGACCTGATATTTCAAATTTAGAAAATGAGATTTCTATACTAAAAAAGTAATTTTTTTTTTAATACAGTAAGTAGAATAATTTACATTTAATTTTTGGATATTTACAATGATTTTGCAATTTAGAATCAATCATGCCCATATAGTAAACTTAATTGAAGTTATTGACAACCATCGTTTTATCTATATAGTTATGGAATTGTAAGTAAAAATATATTATAAAAGACTGTAACCAATATTATTGTAAATATGCCACTTATATTTAATTTAACTATTCAAGTTCCTAAATAAATAAATGTATCTATAAATAATATAATAAATGTAATATTAAATAAACATTTATATAAAAATACTGTTGAAAAGCAAAAAATCCACATTAAAATTATTATATCAAACACTTTTTGCTTTAGGGTGACTGGCGGAGAACTCTTTGATAGGATTGTTGAAAGAGGAAGCTATACTGAAGCTGATGCATCTCATCTTGTAAAACAGATTTTAAATGCTGTTAGTTATTTACATGAAAGAAGTATTATGCACAGGGATATAAAGGTAATATAACTTTTTGGTTTAATAGAAAATCTAAAGTTTTGTTTAAACAAAACAATACTAACAAAGGAAGTTTGATAAATTGACAAACTTTTTCAAAATTTTAATGATTTTATGATAATTTAGTACATGCTTTTTCCAAATAATAATCTGATTATTTTTCAAATCTTGTTTTTTAAAACTCTGATTATTTTCTAACCGGTCAACCATGACTGGCAAGAATTCATTTTGGGAGGTCAAAATAGCAATTTTACTCATTTTGGGCAGTCATTGACCATTGGTTGGTTGTTATTTTACACGCTGATATATATATATATATATATATATATATATATATATATATATATATATATATATATATATATATATATATATATGATGTAAAAGTTATGTGATGTGTTCCATAAATTTATTTGAAACATTACACATACCTGAATTTGCTTAATCATTGACAAATATACATGTCAAACTTTTTATAAAAAATTTCCTTAGAGTAACTATTCCTTAGTTAAAGAGAAAGAGTGGCGGAAAACCTCAAAATAAAGTTGTCTTTTATATTGAAAAACATTAAAATAATAAATATAAAAAAACATAAAAAAACTTCAAGTTTATACTTCAAACAATCTTCAAATTGCCTTTATGTTTTGCTATGTATCAATGCAAGCCTATTGTTTACTACTAAAGGAATTCTTACTTTTATGTAACAAAGTTAATAATTTGTTCAATTATGTATTAAAGTGCGCAAGATTGTCATGCTAATAAATTAAGGGCATAGCAATAGTAATAAAGCAATTTAAATGCTCTAAATCTAAAAAAACTTATATGAAAAGATGGATAGCCGCCAAATCTGGTCAATTAGCTATAGAGAAAGGTCAATTGGCATCAGAAGATAATCCATATTATTCACACAGTGCAATTTTGATGATGAACCTGATAAAGCAATTGTTTCAGAAAATGCTCAAAATGAAAATGACTTATCTAAAGTATGATTAGAGCAAAAGTATTAAAAACCATTTTATATTTTATTTTGCATGACAAATTATGAATTACATTAGGTAAATAATAGTTTAATTATGAATAAAAAATAAATATTAGATACGTATATAATAGTTAGTATATTTAATCAGTTCAAAATTTTTTGAGTAATATGTAAAATTTAATACGTAATAAAAAAAAAAAAAAAATAGATATTAGATAATAAGTATATAATAATTAGTATATTTAATCAAAGTTTAAATTTTTTTGACTAATATGTAAAATTAAATTAAAACAAAGTCGAGATTAGCTCCTCAACTATAGTAGTCCCCTTGACTTAAATAAACTAATCTGTATAAAACCCTTAGAGAACTTTTTTTCACAAGGGACTATAGCTCTATATTAATATTTTTGACAGCAGCATTAATATATCTTATATACACTAGTTGCTGTATAACTTTATGTTAAAATTTGACGAAAATATAATAGTAATGTCTTGTTAACAACTTTTTATGAACAACTCATGTTTAATGATCAAAAGCTGCTTAATTTTACTGGCACCAAAGATTTAATCAAATAAAGCTGGGGCCCAAGCCTAAAAATTTTGACAATTTTTAAATTGCTAATAACCATGAGTTTAAAGCAGGTTCAATATGATCTTTTTTCTAATTTAAAGTTAATTTTTTAACAAAGCACTCAACTTTACCATTTTTTTTCCAACTCTAGTTTTAACTCCAGTAATTTTAGTTTTTTTATTTTATTTTTTATTAATTTCTTATTAAATATTTTAATATAAAAAATTTAATATAAAGTTTAATTAATTTTCCAAGTTGATTTTGTATTAAATTTTTAAATATGCTATTAAGAAAAGGTTGAAGCTTTACCAACCAAGATGTCAAGCAGCTTTACCAAACAAGATGTCTTTCTGGTGTTAAACTGTTTTGCATATAATGATCAAGAATTTTGTAGTGGTATTAGAAAGAAAAAATCCTAGGTTTATAAACTTTTTCCCTTAACCTTGGGCTGCCATACATCCCAGTACACCAGGACATGTCCCAGTTTTAAGCTCTGTGTCCCAGTGTCCCTGTTCAATTTAAAATTATTAGGTATATTTTAAAAATCTTATACAATATTGAACATATGTAAAAATATTGATATGCGCATGGAAGTTGCACTACCTTTTACAATAAGAAACATTTTTTGTTACATTATTTTTTTAATTTTAATTTAAAATCACTCTCTTAACCTTCATAACACCTTGTTTATAAAAGACATTGCGCAGAGAAATAGGTTGGCTTTGTTTTACATTGCCACATTACAAACTACCAATTCCTTCTACTTTTACTTACTGCCAAATTACCAAGTAATTCTATTTTTACTTATTACCACATTACAAATTACCAAGTAATTTTATTTTTATATACTATCACATTATTCTATTTTTTTATCTGATTCTACAATTTTATGTCTCAGCCATACAGGCTTGGTCGGGAAGCGGGAGCGATCGCTCTCGATTGCTGACCACGTAAATAATATTTAGTTGCGAAAAGCTGGCCAGATTTTTTAGTCGTTTTGAGAACATTTTAAAAAGCAAAAAAAAAAAAGCGACGAAGATTAATTGGACCGACGAGAGACAATTACAATGTAATTTATTTAGCTTTAAATTTTTTCGCGTTTAATATCTTTAAACGCGAAAAAATTTAAAGCTAAATAAATTACATTTAAAACAAATATTTTCGAAACATCGCTCTTTTATAATTTTTTTTATAAAATTAAGCAATGTTTTTTATAGAAACATCAACTTTTTATAGAAACATACAACCGTCAACTTAAAAGATTGTTTAAAAGGAAAACAAATATTCTTTATTTAACTAAGTTTGCAAGTTTTAGTTTTACTTAAGCTTAATTTATTTTATAAATAAAAAAGTTAATTTTTTCAATACCTATTTTATGTTTCGCGTAGTTTGAAAAGTTTAACATATTTAAAGCGATTCTTCTTAGTAAGATAAACAAATGAAATAATTAAATCATTGAATTACTATAAGAATTAAATTATCAAGATAGAAATCAACTAAAAAGGTTTAAAATACTTAATGACCAGGAAGCGAAACTGCTTCACAATATCGCTGATGATGTTTAGTGAGTGGGCTTTTAAATTTTAATTAGTGTTTAAAGCAGAAAAAAGTATAACGAGTTTTAAGAATGGCAACTTAAGCAAAAATAATTAGAGTTAGTAAATCAATATCTAGAAATTTTTCTTTATATCTAATTATTTGCTATATATATTTGTGTTCTGTCGTGACCTCAGGCGCGATGCTTGTTCATCCGCGAGTTACTTTGTATGCGTTGTTTGTGTTTAGTAACCAGAAACTTCTTATATGTTTGTTACATAATTAGTTTTATTAACTTTAACGATTAAAACTTCATTAAAAACACAATTATTTTTGTAAGTCTTTGTTTAAATCATAAAAATTGCTTTAAAAGATACATTGCGATAAAAAATAAATACACAAAATTACATTTACTTAAAGAATACAATCTCTTTTAAAATAAAAAATAAGAATATACTAATAAAATCTATGATTTATAATAAACTTTGAAAATTTTAACAATTTAACTAATATATATTTAAAACATTTATTTTCGTAAACAAATAATACAAATAATATAAAACAATGCTAAAAATCTCAAAACGTAACAAATCGTGAATAATACAATTTCTAAAACATTTTAACAGAATACTCTAGAACTTTATTTCACTTAATCAGCGTATTTTTTGAACCAATAGAATTAGTTTGTTCGTTAATTTGGCGGGTTTTTAGTGTTCGCAAACATTCTTTTTATTCTTTCGCACAAAGATGTTTCGAGAACATTCAAGTTTTTTATGTTTCCATGTATGTCCGTAAAACAAAAATTTTTTGTTTCGTACATAAACTTTAAATGTTCTCAAAACGACTAAAAAACCTGGCCAGTTTTACGCAACTAAATATAATTTCCGTGGTCAGTATTCGAGAGCGATCGCTCCCGCTTCCCGACCAAGCCTGCCATATAGCATTTTTATTGCAATCTTGAAGATGTCAAAAATTTTATCAGTTCATATTTATTTCTTAATTATATTAATCCATAGTTATTAAATGAGTTGTTTTTTTTATTATGCTCAATTTTTTATCTAAGCAGTTATGGGTAGTGAATGGTATTTGAAATAATGCTTGAAATAATAATATATTTTTTGCAAAGGTTGTAATAATTTAATTGACAGAAATATTATTAATAAAGGTTAGAAATAATACAGTGTATCAGAAATAAAGGTTCAAAATAATACAGTTTATCAGAAATAAAGATTAGAAATAATACAGTGTATCAGAAATAAAGGTTAGAAATAATACAGTGTATCAGAAATAAAGGTTAGAAATAATACAGTGTATCAGAAATAAAGGTTAGAAATAATACAGTGTATCAGAAATATAAGTTAGAAACAATACAGTGTATCAGAAATATTGTCTTATTCAAAAGGGATTGTTAATAAATTACACAGTGCTATTAGGAGATCATTTGTTTTTTTACAGTGCAATTATCATTAAATGAAAGTGTTATTTCTATTTTTGCTTTAATAGCATACCGTTTTGGTGACATCAAATTGTTTTTTTGTCAAAATATCAATCCCACAAAAACTTCCGTTTTTAAAAATTCTGTTGTTTCTGTGCAATGTTTGTCATAATGCCTTACATTATTGAAAAAAATGTTCATTTTTAAAACACAAACTTTATGCTGATATTTAATCTGCAAGGAAAACTTGTGATCTTTTTTATTATTCTCACCTCATTTAATTTAAATAAATTTGTAACTATTAACAAGTCATAAAAAATGACAACAAAATTATTGCTATGGTTAAACTAACATTAAAAAACATTTCCTTACAAGGGCAGAGCTCTGTGCTGGTTTATTACAGAAGTTTATTTTACAAGTGATCATGGTAGATAGTGACCTCTGATGATTTTCTTATCCATTCAAGCTCTTTTAAAGACAGATTTATTAGGTCACAATAAAAAAGAATATTAAGTTAATATTTAAGTTAAAAAAAAAGAATATTTAAGTTAATGATAAAAGTTGTTAAAATTCCTTCTGCTTTAGTAATTATTCTGCTCTATAATGGCATTTGCTATAAATGCAAATCATATGACTAAAAAAGTTTCTTCATTATGACTCTTATAATCTTTTAATATTGTAATGATTTTTACTTTAAAAGTAAAAAAATTATAATTATTATTTTGCAAAAAAATTGTTACATTTCTGAGATTTTTTTTGAGATATTAGGAGTCAAAAATGAAAAACACAGTTGGAAAAAGTTTTTTAAACATAGTTATGAGTTAGTTATGTTTTAAAAAACATAATTAATTCATAATTAATTAAAACTTTTTTATTAACTTTATTAATAAAATAAAGTTTTTATTAACTCATTAATAAAAACTTTTTATCAACTTTATTTATAAAAACTTTTGATATTAACTTGATGTCGGTGATACAGAATTTTACCTATCAGTAAATCTAAATTAGAATATATTTTTCTGTTAATTAATTATATTTCAAGATGTTTTGAATGGTTTAAATAATTTAAGTTGTAGTATTTTATTTTTTTATAAATTTCTTATTTATTTAATAATATGTATGGTTTTTTCTTTTAGCCTGAGAATTTACTTTATTACGAGTAAGTCAATTATTTTAGTATAGTATATATAATTGAGCAAAAATAGATTTGCTCTTGAAACTGAAATATAGTTTACCAGTATAATAAAAATTATATTGGTATTATGTATTAGATAGAATACATAATGTAAGTTGGTATTATATGTTGAATAGAATACATAATGTATATTGATATTATGTATTGGATAGAATACAAGTAATATGAATTAAACAAAAGTTTGGGGTAGATGGAAAGATATATGAGCTATAATAAGTTAACTAAAAATATTTTGGGAAATTTTAAAAGGTTTTCAAGGTTTGTTCAATTGAACAAACCTTGAAAACCTTTTAAAATTTCCCAAAATATATTTTAGTTAACTTATTATAGCCATTGATCAATGGCATATATATATATAACTTTGCTCAATCTTTAGACAGTTGCCACATGTGTGTGAGAACATAAAATACATCTGAAAAGTTAGTCTTTTTAATGACTGGTGTTCTACATATAAATGTATTTTTCTTTATTTAGCTCAGCCTTTTTATTTAGAAGAGCTCTACATGCTTTACACCCAATTAAATTAAATTTTTCAAAACCATTTGTTTGAAGGGATTTAAAACGCTAATTTTAAGTAACTGTTAAGCAACTTTACTTTAAAGTTTTCTTTGTGTAACGCTATAGTTTTTATTTTACATTTTTAATTGTTTTATTATAACAATATATATATATATATATATATATATATATATATATATATATATATATATATATATAAAGTATATGTTTCTTCTCCGCATATGTTTTATATATGTTGAAACTTGGAGTTTGTATTTACCATGCTTCCATGTTTCAACATATTTAATTTAATTGTTAAACATATTTTAAATATCACATGGTTGGAAAGTTCTCCATTTTCTCTTGGTGATTCTCAAGCTAATAAATTTATATTGTCTCAAAGATTGCTTCTTATTATATCTTATTATTAAATCTTATTATATTACATATATGAGTGATCTTACATATATAATATATTATTATATTATATATGTAAGTGATTCAACTTAACAAAATGCAAACTATGAATCAAAGAATAATTTGGATTTTCTAGTTATTAATGATAATAAAGTTAGTTCTATTGTTCATTCATCTTCTATAGGTAGGTTGATCACTCATCTTCTATAGGTAGGTTGACCATCTTTAAAAAAGATAAAAGTGGAAAATAAAAATTAAAGTTATAAAAAAAGGGGAAAAACCTGGCAAAGATCGTCTAAATTAGTCAGTTAATAATCGTTGAGGGCCTCAAAACAAGATTAAAAGGGTTTAAAATAAAAATAAAAAAATGGAATGGCATTTAATTGTTTTAATGTATCAATGATAATAATGCTTCTCAAATATATCAACACTTTGTGGAACAAACTTAGAAGCATTATTTGAAAAATGCAGACCTTATTTATTTAATAAGACTTATTATATTTCTATTAAATTTAAATGATTCAAAGCTTAATATAGCATAGATTTAATATTCATATTATGTTAATATTTAATAATGTATAATATATACTTCTTATATGATGTAAAGATTGCTAGTTGTATAAAATATATTGCACACTATAATTTTATAACTTAAAATATTTAGTTTAATATGTCGAACCAAATCTTTATTTAATAAAAAAAAAATTATTACATATATTATATAAATATAATACTTTTTTAAAATAATAATTTTTTATGCTTCATCTGGTTCTGCTTTTTCTAAAACATTTTGAAAATTTTTTTTTTTCTTTGAAACTATTTTTTGCAATACTAAAAATTTAATGCATGTTTTTTTTTTTGTATTATAATCTATGTAATTATTTTATTAATTAATTAATTTAGCAAAAAGGAAAACTCTAAAATAATGTTAACAGACTTTGGACTAGCAAAAATTGAAGACAATGTAGTTCAAAAAACAGCTTGTGGAACCCCAGGATATGTGGGTAAAAGTTTTAAACAAGTATTTAGTAATATGTCACCAATGCATAGTAGCATTACAATATGATATGTATAACTTTAGCACCAGAAGTTTTATTGCTAAAAAGCTATGGTCGACCTGTAGATTGCTGGTCTGTCGGAGTAGTTACTTATATTCTGTGAGTACATTATTATAATTATTTGTGTTATTTTGAAAACATGTTTGAAATCGTGCGTAAAAGTATTTTGAAACATGAATTTATACACACACATTTATATATATATATATATATACATATATATATATATATATATATATATATATATATATATATATATATATATATATATATATATATATATATATATATATATATATATATATATATATATATATATATATGTATATACCAATAGTAAAGGCTTTAAATTTACCATTTATTCATTTATTGTAAAAAACAACTCTTAAAGACTCTTTGTCTTTAAAAATAACAAAATTAATTACACTTTATGTAAAAATATGAAAATATAACACTTTTATGCATGAAAATTTAAAACTTTCTAATTCAAAATCAATGAGGCAAGTTGTTTTTCAAAGTTTCCAAATAATTTCTAGAATTTACAGTCTCACTTTGTTGTAAAAGGTTAAAACTAGCGTGACTGTTAACAGTGGTTGCACCCTAAATCATAATTGCTGGACATGGCTTAACAGAAGGTGCAACATATCAGAGATTAAAGTATGAGTTTGGTTTATACATTAAATTTAATTGAGGAAACTAATTTTATCGTTTTTTAGAAAACCACAAAGGCACAACTTTATAGATTGGAATGATTTTTATTTTTTTACTGTTTACATACATTGACTTAAAAATAGGTAGAACATGCAAGGAGTGCTGCTGCATTTACTGAGGGTTTTAATTTGGTCAGGCAATTTATCAATTAAAAAGAAACTATTTTTAAAGTTTTTAAACTTTCTCTGATTTTTCAAATAAATTAATCTACCTGTGTGCGCGCGTGTGAGTAATAGCTGCATATTTACAATCGCTGATATACTTTGTACATTCATCCAATATTATTTTTAGTAATTTTCATCACAAGCCATGGGTTAGTTAGGGCAGTATTTGTTGTTCTAACTTAAGGTCAATTTCTGCTCATCCTTTTTCATCAGGAAAAGGAAGGAAAAAGTAATCACAAGAGCATTCTTAGTTTTGTTGACAAAATTTATACTACGCATGGTCACGTGATTATTTTTCCTTGTGCTTTTCCATTCCTGTGAAAAAAAAGGCAAGAGAAAACTGACCTTAAGCCAGATCAATAAATACTACCCTAACCACCGTTATGATTGTGATTGACATAATCATGTCAAGTCATTCTATTCTGTTATCCAAACTACTTTTTAACAGAAATCAAAACTTAATGTTTAACAATATTTGTTTTGTGTTTAATCCATTAATTTATAGAGTACCACAAGATTTAATTTAAAATGTCATCCCAATAATATTAAAATCAATGATCTACCTTACTTTTCTAAAATTATGGTTTTAATTATAATAATAAATCAAGTTGTTTATCAAAATTGTTTATAAAGTAATGTTATAATAAATTCAGCAAACATATCGGCCTACATGCTAGAATTATTTTCTCCGTTTACTATATTAAGCAATGATTTTTTTATTTTGATACTTTTAGTTCTTTAGGTAGATTTTGTTATTATTTGGATGACATTTTGAATTAAACCTTGTGGTACTTCACACATTACTGATTAAACACAAAACAAAATAAAATATTCAAATAGTGAATTGCATTCAAATTAAATTTTAAAAAGTTTAATCTACAATGTCATTTAGCAGTTTATTAACTTGTTTTTCTTACGGTTACTCTTATTGGAGTTTTATTATTATTGGTGTTAAACGAGAGTAGTTTAGTACATGTCTCATCTTTTTGCATTTTGTAAATAAAATAAATAAAATTAATCATTGTTCATGATGCACAATTGCTACTAGTTTTGTAGTGTTATTTAATACTTTTATGTTTGTGGTTGCGCTCTTAAATTCTTAAAAAAGATATTGTATTTTAAAAGATAATAACAACATTTATGTTATTTAAATATCAAAATATCATTTATGTTAGTTAAATATCAAAATATCAAAACATTTGAAAAAAAAAATTTCAACTAACGGTGTTTAACATTTTCTATGTTAAAACACATTTATGGGTTGATGATTGAAACATTTAAAACTTTGTTTGAACATATTTATGGATTGATAATTAATTAGTTCATGTAGAGAATAAAAATTAGCAAACAAAAGGTTTAAACTGTTATAAATATTAAAACTAAAATTTATTGCACTCTATCAACTATATCAATATTTATAGCAAAGTGAGAGAGTTTGAACTTACAAGCAAAGTGAGAGAGTTTGAGCTTAAATCAAACTTAATTAACATAAATATCTAGAAACATGTATATTAAACCTTTATTTTTATAGTCTCTGTGGTTATCCTCCTTTCAATGATGTAGATCAACAGGGTTACTCACAAATAATAGAAGCAAATTATGAGTTTGATGAGCCATACTGGTAAGATGATAAAAACTAATAATAAACATCTTCATAGGTTTTAAAGTTTGTTCATTAAATCTTTGAAATTTAAATCTGTTTAAAATCAAAGTTTATTTACAAATGATAAGTATACATGTTTTTTAGGGATGACATCTCTGATTGTGGTGAGTTTTTTGTATATATGTTACAGCAGTGCTTACATGAGAGGTGAGGGAGGGGGATAAAAATAATATATAATAGTTTTAAAATTTATAATAAAAAAGTTCATTGTAATTTAATTTTAATTTTTTATTTTTTTTAAGTTATTATTAATTAGATTAAAACTACAATTTTTTTATTTATTGCATAAATTACTAATTTAAATAATCAAATATTTTAATTTAATTAATTAAATATAAAAATATACACAGTAATGGCCGAAAAGATCAAACTCCCCAATATTTATTTCATCAACCGTTATGTACCTGTTTTGTACTGTAACGTACAAACCGTTTTGTACGGCATTGCATACACGTTTATTACTAGAAAACGTTTTAATGCAAAAAACAATATACATGAACATAAAAGAATAAAGAAATCACACTGTATTTGGAGCCATGTCTTAAACAGTTTTTGCTTGATAGAAAGTTGCCCTATCATGTATGAAGGTATCAAATCTTCTAATTCAAAACCAGTTGTTCATCAAAGTTTCCAAATAATTTCTGGAATCGGCATTCTCACTTCGTTGTAAAAGGTGAAAACCAGCATGACTGTTAACATTGGTTGCACCCCAAATCATAATTGCTGGAGATTGTTTAACAGAAGGAGCAACATATCAGAGATTGAAGCATGAGTTTGTTCGGCAAACATTGACTTAGTGTGCTACAAATTGCTTAACTTGCACTGAGTCTGAGAACATGATGTGTTGCTACTTTTGACCAGTTTATTCCTTGAGTCTTTTGCAAAGTGTATGGCAATAATCACAAATGTTTTTTTAAGAAAGGAGTAAAGTACAGTGCGATCAAAGATTAAAGTCCTGTACAACGCGTCTTCAAATTGTGTGAGCAATAACATTTACACTAGCAGGCAGTTTAGTAAGAATTTTTGTGCTTGATATCTGTAGTTGTCACAGCCAAACAGTGTTGTCATACAGGATGTCATGTTGTCAGTTTTTGGAGTGGTAGTTGTAGGTATTCTACAGGATTTTCCCGGTTTAATTGCCATTGTTGACTTGATTGGCTGAATAATATAATAATAACCATTGTAAACAAATTTAAAACTTTTATTCTTCGACCCTTGTTCCAAATGTTTTAAAAACAAGAGAGATTTAAACTTTGTATTATTAATTTTTGATAAATAGTTCACTGAAATATAATTATAGTTAATGATTTTTTTAAGTTAAAACAATTTTTGTAATAACAGTTACGCAAAATTGTATTATTATGAAGGCCTTAACTTTTAAGAATGCCCCAATAACATCTATGGATGTTGAAAGAAGTTTCTCTATGTATAATAGCGTTTTCTGTGCCAATGGAAAAATGTTTGCTATTTACTTTAACAAAAATATTATTTGAAAAAATATATTATTCTGAATTACATTAGTTATTTGTTGCTTACTACGTGTTTTATCAACTGTTTTTTGATATTTCACGACAATTAATGCTCTTAAAACTTATTTTTAGAGCATATTTTTGGTTTATATTATAAATATATTATAGCATAATATGAATCATAATATATAAAAGTAAAATATGATTTTTTTTCAGGAAAACTATTTGTTTCTGGCTTAATGGAACTAAACCCTCAAAAAAGGTTGACTTGCAACGAAGCACTTTCTCATAAATGGTATTGTCATAGTTACATTTAAGTTACTGTTTTCATTAATATATTTCTAAAAAATGACTATGAAACAAAAAAAGTGACAGCCACGCAGTGAGAGAAAAATGTTTTTTAAAAATGCTGGTGTCGTAAACTAGATTCTTCATTTTTCATATTTAATGTATCAATAAAAATTAATCAACAATAATATATTCTATATTTAGTTATCAGAGCTATTTAATTATGTTAATTAATTGTGTTAGTTAATTATGTTTAGCATTTTAAATTCTTTATTACAAGTTCAGACATAATGTTATAGTGAAAATTGAACTAAATTTACACATTAGTAATCATTTCTTGAGGAATCTTTTCTCTCAACATTATCTCCGCATCGCTTAGCATTTCTCATTGGTAAATCCAAGGTAAATGATACAAAATGCTAAACAAGCAAAGAACTTGAAAATTTTGTTGTTAAGATATTTTTGGTCTAATTTAAGATATTGCAAAAAAGATTTCTAAAATTAATCTTAATATAGTTAATTTTATAGAATTTTTTTTTTTATATTCGTATTTTCTAGTTGTAATTTATTTTGAATATCTTAACTTGTTTTTGGCCAGCGAAATTTGTAATTCCTTTGCGGGTCGCGAGATTTTCAACAAGCGATACTAAATAATAGTACTACCAAGCATCAAAAAAGTAGTGTATGATATAGACTCCTCTTCTTTTTATATATTTTGCCCTCCTTTTCTTTTTATATGTTTATTTTTGTTAATTTTATATGTTTAATTTTATATGTTCAATTTTGAAAAACATTTTCTCAGAGTATTTTAACATTCTCATTTGTTGTTGTTTTTAGGATAAACGGACAGTTTGATGGCCATAAAAATATTCACCAAACTGTTTCTACTCAACTCAAAAAACACTTCAATGCTAAAGCAAAGTGGAAGGTTTGAGTTCGTTAAAAATATTTGACTCTTTATTTGTTTGACGTCTTATTTTATGGAGAGTGCTGGTTAGTGATTTAATGATATGTTTCATATGATGATGAAACATATTGAACTGAGTACTAGGTTTATAATCTAAATACGAAACTTAATGTAAGTGTCGCTATGAAATATCCTCTAGCTTTTATAAATTAGTAAAAAATGTTCAAAGTTTTTGATTTAACCGAGTGAGACTTACGATACACGGATTTAATGTAATGGGGTTCCTGGATATTTTAGGATGTGGAAGTGAATCCTGGGATGTGGAAGCAATAGTTATATTACTTTTAAAAAATTGAAGCAATTTTTTTAAAATTCTTTTATAATATGTCTCAAATGAAATATTTATAATCAATTTTATAACACACATCGGTATTTTAAATTTATTGTGCAACATGTGTCATACTGCGTTTTACTGTGCAGTATCTTACTACGCATATACTGCTGTGTATGGTGTAAGCTCATACTAAAGCTCATACTTAAGTTGTGAGACACCTGAAATATTTTTTTTACTATGCAGCACTCTCCTTTATTTTATTTTATTTTTTTTGCCTGATTTTTTTCATAAGTTTGTCCATAAATGTTTTTTTATTTTAGCAAGCACTGAATGCAACAACAGCAATACGGCGAATGAAAAATATATAAATTTATCGACAGTAACAAAACATAACGACACTAAAATGAAAAAACATGAATAATTGCAACTTGTTAAATTTTATGTGAAAAAGTTATTCGTTCTAAAAACGTTGACTACATAAGATGAAAAGCTATATAAATATTTGAAAGTTCATATGAAGAATAGTTATATGATAAAAAAAGTTATAAAAGGAGATCAATAATTTATTTAAACTGATTGGACAATAATACAACTTTTGCCTCTATTGACGAAATGAATTCGTTTTTTATATTAACCTAATTTATGTTGTTTTTTGTTGTTGTTTTTTTGGTGTTTGGCGCTTTTTATATTAAAGGCAAATCTAGTGCAAGTCTAGAGCAATCTGTTGACCAGATTGGTCTGACAACAGCTTCGCATCCCTTCTTCATCTATTAGGCTGGCGCAGATCTAATTATAATACATTGTTTTCAGTTTAGGATGTTGAATGCTGGATCTTATTGACTCAATGGATGGGTTTTGCTTGTGTTTCTGTTTTTATAACTAGGCGGTTCATTCTATTATCTCCTAATCAGGGTACAGCTCTAAGATTCAGTTTTATGGTTTTGAGGCCGGTTTGTAGTCAGGTTTCCCGAGCTCTGTGGTAGCTCTCAGAAAGGCCAATTCCATCAACAGCTTAAAAATATCAGAATTCTAAGAGTGCCATGTTGCGCACGAAAGGTGTCCCTCTTCGTACTTTTAGTGTGCATTGTCGAGGCCACATTTGGAGCTCTCTGTTACGGCTTAGGGTTAATTAGTAGTAATGAGGCAATTGCTTGGACTACTAGATAGTGTACTGAGTTCTATCTATGTTTTGAGTCAAGCACTTTAACAAATTTAAAAATTACTAAAGTACCAAAAACTATAAAACACAAAATACCATTGTCATCACCAAGTTCTCTAAACCTTATCATTCACTAATATTCGTGGTCTTTAAAATAAATTTTCCTCTGTTTACCAGAACTACTTGCTCTTTGTCAGAATAATTTGAGTTCGGCTTACTCATCTTGTGGTCTTAATGGTGATGGTTATCTTCCTTTAATTCGTAAAGACTCCAATAGTCACATGTTTGGCCTGGGCATTTACATTCGAAAGAGTTCATCCATTTGTTGGGAAACTAGGCTTGAATCCAACGACTATTCTTTTATGTGCTTTCGTTTAGCACTAGTCCACTTTATTGCTCTCTTTGTTCTTTATCGTTCTCCTTCATTTCAAGACTACTCTTTTTGATGTTATTTCTGATCATATTGACCAAGCCCTCTCTCTTTATCCATTAGCCAATATCATTGTTGTTGGTGACTTTAAAGGTCATCACACTGAATGGCTTGGCTCTAGTGTCTGTGACTCTGCAAGCATTAAGGCCCACAGCTTTTGCCTTACTCAATCTATAACAATCTCAATTTTAAAATAGTCAACTTTCCAACTCGCTTTCCAAACAACCCGAATCATTTACTTTCTCTTAACGACTTACGTCTTGTTTCAGATCCAAGTCAGTGCTCAGTTGCTTCACATTTACCCTTAGGTGCTTCTGATCAGGATTTGATTTCTCTATAACTACTGTTTCATTCTTCTTCGTCTTTAGAATCCCCCTATCATCGTATCTCTTATAACTACCTAAAAGCTGACTGGGACTCATTCCGTGATTTTCTTTGGGTAGAAATCTTTTGTCTTCCTGCTGAAAAACCTGCTTCTTACATAACTTCTTCGATTCAGGCTGGCATGGAATCTTTTATTCCCTCTCGATAATTACAGGTTAAACTTTGCTCTTTTTCATGGTTTTCCTCACATTGTGATACCGCAATTTCCAATCGAAACCGTTACTTCTATATCTACAGCAAAGCAATTCTCCAAAAAACAGACGTCTGTTTACTATTGCTAGAAACCATTGTAAAAATGTCAAAAAAAAACGCCAAAGCCCGCCATTCTCCGGTCATGAAATCTCGTATCTCATCTCAAAAATTAGGCTCTCGTAACTTCTGGAGAATCTTTAACAGTATCAATAATAAGGGCAAATCTGTTATTCCACCTCTCTTGCATGATTCAGATTTTGTCACCTCACCTAATAACAAAGCTGAATTAATTTCTAAGAACTTTTTATCAATCTCATCTCTTGATTCCACTAGTTGCGTTCTACCTAATATAGCCGATAACAGGTTAATAAATTGCCTGATGTTCGTATCACTCTAGCTTCTGTATCTAAAATGATTTCCTACTTAGACTTGTGGTCCGGACAACATACTTATTATAGTCTTGCAGAAGTGTTCTCCAGAGCTGTCGTCTATACTTTATGTCTATACGTTTTTTAGCATGCTGACATCTGTTATCCTTATTATCAAAAATTCTGGAGAGCAATCTGACTCATCTACCTACTGTCCCATTAGTCTTCTAACTATCATAAGCAAGTTTTTTGAGTCTTTAATTAACAAACACTTAATCTCTCATCTTGAATCTAATAATTTACTTTCTGATCATCAATATGGATATGGATCTTCTAGGATTAACTCTTTCTTCCATTTTTTCTTGGAAACAATATATCAGATCCATTGCAAAATTAGCATCTGCCAAAGTTGCATCTCTTTATCGTGCATGGTACTTTCTTACTCCGGATTTCATTCTTTATAAAACTCAAATATATATATATATATATATATATATATATATATATATATATATATATATATATATATATATATATATATATATATATATATATATATATATATATACATTTATAGATAATATAATATATAAATATAAAACTAAATTTTTAATCTTGCGTTTTGAAAATGTGTAAAACTTATTTAAGTTATTTAAAACTTGTATAAAACTTATTAAACTTATTTAAGTTGAAGTAATTATTTACAATGCTTTCATCAAGGTATATTGGACTTTAAACGTCGTTATCCCTTGATATCCTCCTGGATGTTTTAGTCATCATTGCAATGACATGGGCGCTGTTTTCTAGCGTTTAGAAATAACTTTTTTAAAAATGAAAAAAGAAAAAGGGAAAAGAAAAAATTGAAGGAAAAATGAAATCAACAAAAAATAAGATAATGTAAATATTTTAAACGAAGGAAAGAAAACGAAATATCTTTAACAAAATAAGTAAAAAAGTAATGAAAATAGAAGCTAAAAAAAAAGTTATGAATGAAATAAATAAAAAGAATGAAAAAGAAAAAATAAGACTAATTAAACATCGGCAAAAGACATCAGAAAAAGATCAGCAAACCAAGCTTTATATATATGTATATATATATATATATATATATATATATATATATATATATATATATATATATATATATATATATATATATATATATATATATATATATATATATATATATATATATATATATATATATATATATATATATATCATTTGAAAACTCTCAATTTACTTTAGGTGCTTTTATTGACTTGGCGAAAGCTTTGATACTATTGATTACAAAATTCTTTTAAAAAGTTGGAGTGGTACGGAATTACTGGAAATATATTAGTAACTTTTAACCTAATAATAATTATGTTTGCTGATAATTCGAACATATTTCTTTCTCATAGTAACATTTTTAACACTTTTTAGCAATATGAACAATGAATAAGACAGAATTTCCGAATGGTTTAGGTTAAAAAAACCATCACTTAATATTGATAAAACTAAATGGATTCCTTTTCATCATTATGGTAAAAACCACCAACTGCTTAGGAATTTACCTTTTCTATTTATCGATATATCGATAAATATACACATCTAAAAATCTTGTCACTATAGTGACATGATTTTTAGGTGTATATATCGATGAAAATCTTACACGGTAAAGCCACATTGCTAAATTATGCAGTAAAATTTCAATGAGTATAGACATTTTATACAAAATAAGAAACGTTCTTGATAAACATAAGTTAATTCAATTATATTATTCGTTAATTTATTGCCATATCAACTATGCAAACATTGCTTGGGGTAGCACTTATAAAAGTAAACTTAAACCTCTCTATCGGCAACAGAAGCATGTAGAACGCCTTATAAATTTCAAGAACCGTTTTGCTCACGCCAAGCCTCACTTATATGATATGAAAGCACTCAATATATATGAGTTGAATGTTTTTAATATTCTTTGTTTTGTCTATAAATGCAAGACCCACCTATCACCCGTTTCTTTTTGTAACTTGTATTTACAAAGAGATAGAAATAAATATATTTTAAGAAACGATAATTTAATGCGACAACCATTTTCTCAAACTAATTTTGGAAAATTTTTTATTTCGTTTCGCGGACCATTTTTATGGAATAGTATAGTTCTAAATACTTCTAAAGATTTTTCTTAAGAATGTAATTTTGATTCTTTTAAACACAATTATAAAAAACTTATTTTTTCAACTGAAAATATACTAATCTACTTTTAAATTTTTGAAAATCCCTTATCTATATTAATATATGTATATATTTAATGTATATTCTTTTTTTATTTATTTATTTATTTTTTTATCATCAAGCAATTATTCAAGATGTTTTATTTTAGTGAATTATTTAACATGTTTTAGTTTTTAAGTTTTAGAACTCTTCTATTGTAATATTGTATGTTTGTTTATAATATTATATTACGAGTTTTATATACTTTTATTATTAAATTTAATTTTGTAACAAAAATAAATTGAATAAAAATAAATAAATACAAAGAATGAAAACTTTGAGAAAAAAAAACAAAAAAAAAAAACGTTATAATTTCTTCAACTGCGGTTTCTCTGTGACAAGAGCTGATGTATCAGCTATGATGTATCAGTATCCGCGTTTTTTATATTTAGTATTATTTATTAATGATTTATTTTTAGTTAATGTAGCTTTACGTAATTATGTTGTTATGCGGTCTTGCAGTAATGATTTTTTTTTCTTCAGTTTTTTAACGTATGTAGTTTTACTTGTTATTTTTTGTTAGTCATTTATTGTTTTACTTTTTAGTTATTACTTATTTTTTAACTGTGGTTTATAAACTTTATATACAGTTATATATTATTTTTTATAACTTTTTTTTTCAGCCATTTATTATATATGTTTTGTTTTTAGTTTTGTTTTGTTTTTGTGTTATTTTTTTGCTTAGAGTACATAATTTTTTGTTTTGATTGTAATGTTTTTAGTAACTTTCGTTTTGTTTTGATTTCTCAGTGTTTTTCTGTTCATATTTTATTTATTCATTTCGTCATAATATTTGCAATATATTTGGGTTATTATATTAAAACAACTATGAATTTTTTTAGAAATAGTCGTTTTTATGTC